GAATAAAAGTAAACTAGCAGTGTGTACTTGATAACATTCTGGAACACCCATGGGTTTTCTGAGTGATAAATTAAGGCTTCAGCTTAAACCCCGTGGTGATCTCATGAAGCAATAGTCATCCTATCCTTATATGCTTTAAATCCAGGTATGTTTTGACTTCTTTGTGGATGTGTGTGCTGGCATCTGTTTACAAAACAATCCTGTTTCATCCACATTAAAAATTTGTTCTGATAGATATGCCTCATCCTTAATTACTTCATCTATGCTGTCAACAAAGTTACAAGCTGCTTCCACATCTGCACTTGCTACTTCTCCAGTAACTAACATTATGAATCTGGAGTCTTTTCTTGAATCTCTTGAAACAGCTAGTACTTGCTACAAATTCTTGGCTGTTGTCTTCTTGGATGCACTCCTTCAAAGTTTGAAATAGACTTCTACCCTTCATCTGCACAGTAAAAAGGCTAAATGGAACCTCATTTGGATCTGATCTTTCATCCACATATGCAGCAATTTCTCCATTTTGGGGATGCTTAGTTATGTGCAGAATCTTTATATGCTTCCCCATACTCCAACCATCTCAAGTACAAAGGAATGAATTCTGTTAACACTTAAAAAATAAACATGTTGACAGATAAGATGACCTGTCAGAAACACCTACGAAACAATAGAAATTAGATTGTGAAAGGTTGGAAGGAAAAAGGAGATAAAGAGAGGCAGAAAGTTAGGTAGAATCAGAAAAGAAAGATATTAGATAGATTCCCAAATAAGGAAATTTGACCAATATATAGAATTAGTTAATGAAATCAGTAAGTGAAAAGAACTTATATATAATTCATTTTTGATTCAGAAGAATATTTCATGTTGTTATGAGGAGATAGGTATGATATCCACAAGTAGGTCAAGATAACTAAGACAAGCTATTAAATGGGAATTGAAAAAACAGCCACCTTTTTATTAATTATAATATAAAATCCAATCCTTTATCAGTGCCAATGGGTGTTCTGCCATGCTACTGGAAGCAGTCGTGTTGTGATCAAATGCAAGCATGTTCAAAGAAAGCCAAAAATGTTTGCTGTGCACAAAAAAAATAGGCAATAATAATTGTCAATCTTTGAAGAAATGCAACAGTTACTTTGTTTCATAGGGAGGAATGTTAAACAAGAGAATAGCTTTCCTGAAATATGTTTTTCATTCTTTATTCAAGTCACAGCCATCCAAAGATGAAAGTTTATGGTAATAAAATAAATTATACAGAAACTCAAAATTTGATTTAGCATTCTCCTCATAGGATTGCTTGTCTCATGTAATATGTTGCCAAGTCAGTCATGCTGTCTGAATATTTAGTGGAACATCTTCCCCAGAAGAAGAAACCAAAGAAATAAATATGGTTGAAAAAGACACATATGTGAGTCAGGTCATCTAGAACTTAAAACATCTTGAATGGGGGAGTTGTCACATCTCCAAGACTGTGTGTGTGGGGTGGAGAGAAATAGCCACATTTTGAAAGTAAATAATTTTGTATTGTTATTTTTAAATGACTTGCGTTATAATTTATTTCTGTGGATATTTAATCTGATCACTAGCATCTGCATATTATCAATGAAAGTGCTTCATTACAGAAGTGTGTGTGAGGTAGGTAGGTAGATAAAGTTCTGAAAAGTTCAACCAAAAAATGGAATTTAAAAATTCTTGATCATTTGATCAATGGTTTGGGCTGAAAACTTTTCAACATTCCCTTTTATTCTTTTAGTAACTTTATAGTATTAAAAAAAAAACCCCAAAAAACAACTGAATTACACAATTTTGTTTGCCTTTGTTTACCATTTTCTAACATCCAAGCCAATTTCTCTCTTTTCTTGGTCAGAGGCTGTAAAAAGAACCACTCATTCTGTCACCTGTCCTCTTGCTTCCGAAGCATCAACCAATTATTCCAGCATTTCCCACTGAAAAACCACCAGAGGCAAAATTAATGTTTGACATTTCAATGAGCTTAACTGATCAACTTTTGGCTTAAAGAAATTTGTTGCTTGTTTATCTGTAAAATGCTACTCTATTCTGAATATTTGATGGACGATTCACTAGAAAATAAGGTTAACCCTTGTCACACTTTGTTTAATTAATTTGGTAAAAGCTCTCTTTTTGGTCATTCAATTTTTTTTTCATTGAAATCTTAAATGTCCAGATTTATCAAACTGTTTAGACAACTTTTACTAAGCTTTTCTTGCACCTGATATTTCTAAATTCCATTTTAGTAGTGATAAATTTTGACACTTGACTATTTAAATATTTTCTAGTTTACATTAATCTAGTAAAGGTCAATGCTTGTAGATCATTCAATGACGATCATACTAACTTTTTGAATGTTTACATATTTACACTACTGTAAGTGCCCAAGTCAAACTTAGGATACTATTAAAGTTTATCTAGTGATGGTCAGATTCACTACATAATCAAATGAGATAAGCTTGCTAACAATTATACTCCAGAAGGTACCAAATTGGTATTTATGAAGCTCAACTTAATTTGAGTAAACTAAAAGTGTAGAACACCCAGTGATGAATGAACTGAGTACACAGTGGTATCATTCCAGTCATGGTGTGGTATTCAACTGTTTATGGTTACTATTGTTTGACAGGCCATTAATTCTTGAACAAACTTTAACATTGTTCTGATTTCACTTTTCATTACCTGTGGAATTTTAAAATGTAGTTTGGTATTTTTCCCTATATGGAAACCACATATCAAAGTGACTAACATAACCAAGCTTAAAATACCCAAGTTTTGGATATTTTGATTAAGTTAAATGTCTCTGATATTATATAATATTGATTCTTATCATGTCTTGATTTGATTGCTATCAGCCATAAGTGTTATTTTGCATTTGAATTGTATTTTTACCTTTCTTAAAAAAAAAAATTATATTGCTTACATTCTTCTATCTTCATTGTGAGAATCAATAAACAAAAATACACTAATTTTGACAAAAACATGTACACGGATGTATCAGCTGTCACTATCCAATGAAAAAAATCATTTTAAAAAATCTCTTTATCAAATTAGTTAAACTAAATGCTACTAATGCCACCTCATGAGAAAATCAGAACAAACATTTTGGTCATTCCAATATTTAGATACTTTAACATTAAATTCTTAATCTAATATTAATTTTCTTTCTAGTTACAAATCTTCTAAAACCAGTTAACTTTTTTCTTTGTTCTCTTATATAAATTAGCTATTTCAGTTGATGGCTTAGTGATATTTCTGATTGGTAATCTAAAAAATAACTTATGTTGTTATCTACTATATAGATTTATTAGGCTTGGTGTAGTATAAGGCCACATGAGTGGGAAGATAAATTTAAGATTGTGTGTACTGATCTTCTAAGCAAGCCTTCACATGTGTACAGGGTGCGATGGATAAATCGTCATCTAAATTATGCAAAAATAACACTGACAGATATATTTTAACAGATATATTTACCAAAATTAAACAAAAATATCTTGAAATACTAAAGAGTAAATTTATTCAATAAAATCACCATTGGCTTCAACCATGGCCTCCAGACGACTTTGGAATCTCCTGCAACTCCTCTAGATGCTCAAGTTGGTGAATGCTGCCATAATCTTTGCCTTCAGTTCATCTTTTCTGTTAGGAGTTTTGTTGGTCTCTTGCTCAACTGCACCCCACACATAATAATCAAGGGAGTTGCAGTCTGGGGAGTTATGTGGCCAAATGTAAAGGGTGATGTGGTGGCAGAAATTGTTTGACAACCATCACTGGGTTCTCCTGCACATGTGGCATGATGCAGTGTCCTGTTGGGTCTTCCAGCAGCCACCCTCTTGACCCAGGGCAGCAGTACCTCCTTAAGGCACTTGATGTAGGCCTCCTTGTTGAGTCTGAGTCCCTGTGGAAAGATGAATGGAAGCATAATGTTGCTATCACTAGTGGTCACACCAAACACCTTTGTTATCACCATTAGACTCATCCAACCCTTTATGAATCCTCTGCACTGTCCTCAGATTGATACCCAAACACTCTGAAATGCCAAGCAGTACAGCATGCCATTACCAAATTTCTGGTGAAGGGAATTGCTTCATGATGCTCTTTTTCTGACAGACAGTGCCCAACTGACCCTACTATAGTGTGCAGTCAACAAAATCAGGAACAAACATGTGATGCAGAAAAATTAAAAATATAAAATGGTGACAATTTACCTATCATACTCTGTACACAGATATTTGCTAAACTTATTGTTAATCTACTATAAATTCTCAGAGGAATATATACCTAAATTTAATTTATATATAATTAAAAGATTCATTTTTGTAATGTTTAGAAGTCGGAATTTATTGCTAAAGTCTTTTATACCAAAGCCTAATCTTCTATACAAATGTAAATAGAAACTAGCCAATCTTTAAAAGTCAAACTCAAGGAATATAGGAAAGCCATAGTTGAAAGAAAATCTGGCATAGCAGACCATATTGTAGAAGAGCTCAAACCATCTTTTCTGTGATGAGGCTCAAGTAATAGATTGAGCCTCCCAGAAGTGTTAGAAAATTACATATATTTAAATGGTAGAAATTCCAGAACTCAGACATGTATAGATTTCTTTGTTTGACAAGGAAAGTTTTGGAGATCAATTCTTGTTTACAAAATATGGAATTTTCTGCATCACATGAGTTACTTTGAGGAGCAGTCTGATCAGTTTGATACCATTTTTCATGTTTTATCATTTTAATGAATTTGTAGACATTACCTGAAAAAAGTAAGAGATACCCTCCCTTCATAGAGTTTGTGTACCTTTTAGAATGTTAAAAATATCAATTGGCTGAAACATTGTTGCAACAGCAAAAAGAATGAGATTGGAACAGGTCTTAGAATCATTTGCCTTGTTTTCTAAATTGAATTCTTATTACTATTAAGCATTTGTCGAAGTTGTTTTTTTATTGATTCATGTCAGATTAAAGTTCAAAATTATAATTTTTTTTTCTTCTTTCCAGAAAATTGCCAACTCCATGGCATCCACTTGGCCTATGGCAACACTGTTCATGATATGGTGATCATATGGTCCACAGTAGTGAACTGTACAAGTCAAGTAAGATATGGGAAGCATCCAAAGATTTTAAACAACACAGTTTCAAGCAAGGTTGTCTACTTTAATGAAAGTAATCCTCTTGGGAGACATTACTTGTATAGGGCAGAACTTAATGTAAGTAATTTTTCGCTTTACTTACTCTCAATTTTTATCTACACCTTTTATGGCTTTATTTTTAAACTCTTTGTCTCTATTTACTTGAATATTTTTTTCATACCTCGCTCTGTTCTTTCTAATAACCTCTTATGCTTGTCTCCACTTTTTTATGTGTGGGGAGGTGGCACTGCCACTGTCCTTTTCTCTACTTGTGTATTTCTTATTCACATCATTGTTATTCATCAAGCTTCGAGTTTGAACATTGACATTAATGTTCCATTGTTTTGTAGCAAACAGTTTGGCTTTTTTGGGAAAAGTCTGTGAATCTGTAGTGAATTTTATTTATTCTTGAGAATTCTTTCTATCTCCTGGATGGGGTTAGGTTTTAGACAAGGTTAAAACCAGAGCTTCAATTTTTTTTTTTTATTCTTGATGTTAAGCAGGCAATTCCTTTCAATTGCAAGACTGCCATAGCATAATCTTTCTACACAAGTTTCTTCTAATGTGGCTTTGAGCCATACTAAAAGCTTTGTAAATTGCTACATTTTTAAGCGCAAATCTAATAAAGAGGAAACTCCTAGAAGCCCTAATCAATGCTGAATTGCTTCATCATATCGTTCGGCCTTTTCTCAGACAAGCAATATGGCTTACATTTTTCCAGGTCAACTGTTGATGTACTAATAAATTCAGAAAGTCTATCATGCTTCAGGTAAAAATGGTGAAGCCTGGGCTATAGCATTGAACAGGCCTTCAACAGGTTTGGTATTCAGGTCTTCTCCACAAGCTGAAACATTATATTGTCTCTGGACACCTTTTTCAGCTGATCCAATCATTCCTATCTAATCGTGAAATGAAAGTTGTCTTGAATGGCCACTCATCTACATCCTTTCATACTAATGTGGGTTTCACGCAGGACTCTGTCCTTGGTGCTATGCTGCGGGTGAGACAATTTTTCTCTCTGGAATCTATCTTTTATAAGTCTACCATTCATCCATGCTTAGGATATTGCTGCCATATATGGTCTAGTGACCCTGCTATTTATCTGGAGCTCCTTGATAAGATCCAAAAAAGAATCAGCAATATTATTGGTCCTGATCTGGAAGCTTCTGTCACTTGCTCACTGCTGTAAGGTTGCCTCTCTGTTCCTTTTTTTTATAAATACTTTCATTGTAATTGTTCAGATGAGCTCTTCACTATTGTACCTAGACTGTATGAATTTAAGTGCAATACTAGACTGATGGTAAGATCTCATCAACTTACAGTTGAGCTAGCTAGATGAAGCAATGACTTCTATACTGACAGTTTCTTTTCTCACACTTCTTGTTTGTGGAACTCCCTTCTGGTTTCATGCTTTCCAGACAACTTTAATATGCAAAAATTTAAGTATAATGTCAATCGCTATCTACTGTCCTCCTTACAGCTCCTTGTTCTTTTTACTCATTACTAATGTTTCTGTTTCTAATTCCTCCACACCCTGTAACTTCTTGCGTGTTAGCGGCTCGGGGTGATACCGATTTAAAAAAACAAAAAACAAAAAAAAAACATTTTAGATAAAGAAGATAAAAAAGAATCACTTATTATAAAGATGTAGCTTTTTGCAAATGAGGTTTTGTAGATTTAATAATTCTAATGACTACTGGCAAGATCCTTTCTTATTAGATTTTTGCTTTTATTGACTTCTTTTGCAACTGAAGCACTTCCTTACATGCAAGCTGATAGTGGCCTGCTAGCGGGCCACTGATGGCAACATCAATGGTCCTCTGGTGGTAGCCACCAGCAGACCTCTGGTTGTTTGTCAATGGTAACATTGCTGAAAGGAACACACTGGCTGTTTGACAGTGAGCCACCAGCAGTAAACATTAGTGGCATGCTACCCTGTGACAAATTGGTGGCTTGCATGTATGGTTATAACTTCTTGCAACAACTTAAATTCTCAAATGGTCATTGAATCATTTATTCAGTTCTCTCTCTCTCTCTATTTCCCCTTCTCAGGGACATGAAGTGGAAAGATTATATTGAATCAATTGTTAGGTCTGCTGTTAGGAAAGTTGGTTCACTGCATTGGTTTAGACAATTTTTCTCACCAGAATCTATCTTACACAATTATAAGTCTACCATTCATTCCTGCATTGAATATTGCTGCTATATCTGGCCTGGTGTTTTTGCTTAATATTTAGAGATTCTTGATAAAATATAAAGAAGAACTTGCAATATTATTGGTCCTGACCTGGCATCTTGGTGTCAAATGACCATCAATACATTTTATAATAAAATTGAAGACCTGACATACATTGTCAAAAAAATAATCACATTTCTTTTAAGGAGAAACAAGTTGTTATTCTTTGTTTGATTTTGGTAAAATTTTGATCTACCATTTGATTTTATTAATATTATTTGGTAAAAAAAAAAATGCAGCTAAGTAATTATAATTTAGTCATAAAATAATGTAATTCTCCTGAATTAATTATAAAGTTTGAATTTTCATATTTAAATTTTGGCTTTAATTAACCCATCCGAGTTGACATGCTGCTAAACCAACCAACCTACCAACTGGCATCTGGACTTCAGTCATTTTCCCATTGTTGTAATGTAGTTTCTCTCTGCCGTTTCTACAAATACTTTCATGGTAATTATTCTGATGAGCTTTCCTCTTTGGTACCTAAACTTTACAAAGTACAGTATTAGATTGGTAGCAAGGCTTCATCATTTTACAGTTGAAATGGCCGCTAGATGTAAGTTCTATGCTAATAGTTTCTTCTCTCACATTTCTCATTTTTTAAAAACTCTCTTCCAACTTCTTACTTTCCAGTCAACTTTGATCTTCAAAAATTTAATGCAATGTTGATCATTATCTTCTGTCTTAATTCCTGTTCATTTTATTGTTCACTCTCCTTAAAAATATTTTCATTTTCTCATATTCTTTCGTGCTTAGTAACCCCCTTGAGTTTTAGTGACTTTATTGCCTTACTTAGGATGAAACGATTAATATATATGTTTTAATTTTCATATCTAGATTTCGGCATTAACACATACAGGTTATATTCAGTTGTATCTTTTATTTTATATATTATATTTTTGCATGCAAGTATTGAGATTTTTAGAAATTTTGACCATTATTTTAAACAGGGCTTCAAAGTTACTGAAGCTGCTTGCAAAATTTGGAAAGTGGAAAGAAGTGTAACACTATCTGACAATACTGTTCCTAAATTCGTTTAAAGGTGGTGACTTGTCCCTTGAAATAAAGCCGAGAAATAGGAAATTGTCAGTAGTCAGTTATGATGCTTTAAAATGCAGGATACAGGAGAACCAAACCAGCAATACTGGAAAACTCTTGGAAAAACAAGTCTCATCAAAATATATCACATGTGGGCAATTACATAAGCTTCAAAACAATACAAGAGTTCTTCAGTGGTAACTCTTGAAGTCTCAGTTTATTAAGAAATGAAAATACAGTTGATATATCTTTTTAATAGTTTTTATTTTTGGGGTTGGTTTATATTTTTTAAGCCAGTCTATTTTCTATTCTTTGGCTAAAATACTAAGAATTCAGAACAGAAAAATAAGTTCAAGATGTGACTTGAATATTGCCTGGATTATTTTGAATATTCAGCTTCTTAACTAATCCTGTCTTGGCTAGTAAATATTCCTTTAATACAAGTAACTGCTTCTTAAAGAATAATCCAGTAAGGGAAAAAAAAAAAAAAAAAAAATGATCTAAATTCCTTTGTGAATCAATTTATTTACTACTTGGCCAATCCTAAATCTGTTAATCAGATAATCCTTGTTATTATGGCTGACAAAAGAAGTTCTCTAACTCGTTCTAGATCAGTAGATACATACAGTTTAATATTGTTTTTACAATGTTAAGAATATAGAAATTATTATAAAAACCTGCATTATAGTTGTGTTTGTTACATAATTCCTATGAGAAGTAAAGGTTGGTGTTCACCTTCCTAAAAAGAACATATTTAAAATGTTAATTTTTTTCAAGGCAGAAGATTAGTCTACATACAGTTTTGTTAATAATCCTTATTCAAGTTTGTTTAGCTGATAGAAAATGTTGAGTTGTTACTCATCAAATGTTTGTGAATAAAAATCTACTTGCTCAAGAATAGTAGTTAATTTATGCAGATTAATTAAGGAAAATAAATTCTTTAGAGTATATTCTTTCTTGTTAATGTCTTACTGAGTTACTTTGGGTATAATGCATTTTTTTTTTTTTTTATTATTATTAAATTTAAACCCAAAGATGCATCTGCATTATTTACACTATTTACATGCGGATTATTGTCCTCATCTTTGTTGTTGTTATCACAACAAAGATGAGGACAGATGTTCACATGTAAATAGTTAAACTTTTGAGCAACACTTAAATTAAGCATGCATTTTATTAACATGATGACAAAATGTTTTGGAAGTGAAAAATTTTCAGAATTTGTGATAATAATGTATGAACTGTAAACAATCAGTTGAATTTTCCTACTTCAATCATTTTTTATTTGTGATTTTACATTCTTTCATTAAATCATTTGTTAGTATTTTTGTTTAAAAATTAGTGTGTTGTACATTTGAGGTAGAATTAGTTAATTGATGATGTGTCAACCTTTGTTAATTTAATTAAAGAGGCAGGCATTGAAACCTGAAATATAACTAATTGGCAATCATATTAAGTATTTTAAAAAATATTTTCATTAAAAATAATCACTTTACTAACAAGTAGTTTTAGTTGTAGATTTAACTTAGAATAATTATCTTAATTGATAATTCTTTTTGTATTATGTTTTGCGGAAGCATTTTCATTGGAAATAA